TATGGAAACTAAGGTTAAAGAAGATGGTTGCTTCACAAACGCCATTTGCACTCCCAGCGGCTCCATCATTTAGGGTCTAAGGTCTTCTGTAACTGTGTCATTCAAATGTATACCACTCTGTTCCTTTTCCACAGCCCCTGGAAACCAGAGATCAGACCGAACATAAGTGTTAAAAACCAAACTGACTCGCCTTAGTCCCCCAGCATTTATCTGCTATGCCACTGTGCTACAAATGTAAGAGTGGCCTATTCTACCATTTTAACATGAAGAAAAATGTGGGCAGAGCAATGTGTTCAATTTATTAAAACAAACTTTCAAATGTGAAGGGGTTATCAAACCGAGCTTACAGCAAGCTTTTAAAAATTCCAGAATGAAAATGGAGGTCAAAGAGATAGAAGGCAGCCGTGTCCTGCCACCGACAGAAACGGTGAGTGTTGGATGAAGTGTTAAAGGAGGCGGACGAGACGAGGGAGAGGCTGGCTCTGGCCGGTGGATGGAGCGAGCACGCCTCCAGAGATCCCTCCCACCGGCTCCTTCATGAAGGAAAAGCAGGGGCCTGCCGTGGTGCTGGGCGCGCCATTGTATGTAAATGACACTAAGTGGCATAGTTCTCTTGTGAGGGGACACTTTTTTTTTTTTTTTTTTTTTTTTTTTTTTTTTTGCGAGAGCAACTCTCCGACCTTCCTAGATCTATACTTCCGCCTATCTTTCACCAATTTCCAAGTGACGAATTCTGCTGGCCTTTCCCAAAACTGTAAGGGCCTCCACGTTCAATCATCCAGGAAACTATTTTTTAGCAAAAGACCATATTAATGCTAGATCAATAACAGCAGGCGACCGCAATGAAGTCAGATACAGATAAAGAAGATGCGATTCGCCTAGTTTAATCGCCCAGGAATAACTACTCTTTCAGTTTAGATTACAGTATCGCTCAGAGAAGGCCAGAAGTCTGGGGAAAGGGCCGTAAGTAGCTCCCTCGGTTTTGAGCATTAAACATTCTCCTCTTATCTGTCTTCTTTTTTTAGTGTACTCTATTGTGTTTCTCTCTGTCCGTTCCCTCTCTGAGAAACGATGTCTTTTTGTTGTTACTTGGTGTATCTGGGGCCTGTTCTGTGTGGTCGGTATATATTGTGCTTTGCTTCAGACAAGTGTGTGCCTCTCTTCTCTTCTGTTTATCTCGGTTGTTTGGCCGCTGGGCCTTTCACTATGGCGGAATGAAACCATGGAGAACAGAAGGAAGAATTGAGTGAGCGAAATAGTTTTTAAAAATTTCAGGAAGGGAGAAAAAGTTATCCCTTTATTGTTTTGTGTGTTTTTTTTTTTTTTTTTTGAGGACAGGGTCTTGTTCTGCGTCACCCAGGCTGGCGTGTGCCGTGGTGGAGTGCAGTGGGCCCATTGATGTCTCTTTTGCTTCCAATGCACGCGCTCGCCACCTCCAGGGTTCATGCCTTCTTCTGCCTCAGGCGCCTCCACAGTAGCTTGGGAATACCAGACGCATGCCAGCCGTGTGGCCCGCAGCCTTAAGTTTTTTGGTATTTTTAGTAGAGATGGGGTTTCACCGTGTTAGCCAGGATGGTCTTGATCTCCTGACCTTGTGATCTGCCCGCCTCGGCCTCCCAAAGTGCTGGGATTACAGGCGAGAGCCACCGCGTCCGGCAGTTACCCTTATTTGTTCATCGTGTTTACTGGAGCATCTAATCTCCCAGTCAAATCCAAATCTCATTAGGTCAATTACTCAGATACTGATACTAGGTCAAAACTTAATACAGCTCCTTTCCACTGAAACAGAATTCACAGACATAAACAAATACATAGAAAAGGTAAACCTGACAATGAACATAATCCAGCTTGCTACAAAGTAGTTGTCTAACTTTCTTTGCTGTTTTTTCTCTGTAATTTAAAATTGACTCATGTGACAGAAACGTGGTGTTGGTGACTGGAGTCCAGTGAATCAGCTGGGTTGAGCCACAGGGTGTGTGAGAGGAGTAGGGAAATCTGATTTTGGCTTGCCATCACCGCGATTCCCAGGAAAGTTACTGTATCTCAGGCTTCTTGTCTGTGAAATGAGAGAATATTGCCTGGATACCTCACAAGCTGATCATTTCAAGGAAAGGTTAAAAAATAAGGCAACATACAAACGTAAGAAATATGTTTTTGAGGACAGATACTTTATAATGGGTTGATAAACTACACCAGTGGGCCCAGTCCAGCCTGCCATCAGCTCTTGTAAAGTCTTAAAGCACAACCATGCCCATTTGTTTACTATTGTACATGGGGGCTTTTGCACAACGGCAGCGAAACTGAGTAATCAGGGACCGTATGGCACTGAAAGCCTAAAATATTCACTCTCTAGCTCTTTACTAAAAAAACAAAAACAAAAAACAACTCGCCAAGCCCAATCTAAAACATAACTTTGCATTTGATAAATGAATATGTAAAGGCAATTTTAATGAATTATTTTATACTATTTCTACTGCATGTATCTTCATCTTCCTTCCTTTTTTTTTTTTTTTGAGATGGAGTCTCGCTGTGTCCCCCAGGCTGCAGTGCAGTGGCGCCATCTGTGGGACTACAGGTGCCCGCCACCACGCCAGGCTAATTTTTTTTTTGTATTTTTAGTAGGGACGGGGATTCACCATGTTCGCCAGGATGGTCTCTGTCTCCTGACCTCGTGACCCACCTGCCTCGGCCTCCCAAAATGCTGAGATTACAAGCGTGAGTCACCGCACCCAGCCTTCCTTCTAAATGGTCATGACCCCAAAGCTCCTTCCTGGTTATAAAGTGACATGGTAGAGAAATTCCTTTTGGTTTTGTGGCTTTTTAATTTGACTACAGTTCCCTGAAGAGACAATACAATGCTCATTTCATTTTAGGGGTCTCCTCCCCAGAACTGCCCTGTGGAGTGCATTTATTGGAATGGCAAATCTTCCTTTAATTAGAGTGAATGTGAATACGGGAAACACCCACATACATAGATTCAAATGTGAAGAAGAAAAATTGTCCAGTGTGCTTCGACATCTTTGAGGCTTCTAGGCCCCGAAGGAGCCGTGTGAGTTCCCCTGCTCCCTGCCTGGCTTGTTCCCCTGTTGGCTGAACCGGTGTCCCCCATCAATCCTCAACCTCACGTGTCTCCATCTCCTGCCAGCCCATTAAACAAGCCAACTACATCCTCCCACAGACACCAGAGGCCACCACACCCCCTTGTTCCTACAAAGCCTGCCTCCACGCCCCTCTGCTTCACTCTATTCCTGAGTGCACCCCTCGTGTGGCCCTGCCTGGTGCATGGCGTCCTCTTCCCCAGGCCGTGAGTATATGTAACTCATAAGCTGCTGTCGATCACATCTGTCCAGCGCAAGGTGTCATGTGTTCAGCTACCTTGTGCTATTTAGGGTGGGGCATTCTTCCTTCACCAACATGGTGAACGATGATAACAGAATGGGGTGCAGCTGGGAGCCACCAACAGCCAGGTTATGGGTAAATCATTTCATTTTTTTTTTTTTTGAGACGGAGTCTTGCTCTGTCACCCAGGCTGGAGTACTGTTGCGCAATCTCGGCTCACTGCAACTTCTGCCTCCTGGGTTCAAGTGACTCTCCTGCCTCAGCCTCCCCAGTAGCTAGGATTACAGGCATGCACCACCACTCCTGGCTAATTTTTGTATTTTTAGTAGAGACGGGGTTTCACCATGTTGACCAGGCTGGCTGGTCTCGAACTCCTGACCTCATGATCCGCCCACCTTGGCCTCCCAAAGTGCTGGTGTGAGCCAGCACACCCGGCCCTGGGTAGATTATTTCTAAGAAAGGATCTTGGCAAAGCACCACAGTATTCACTGAAGTTAATCCCTTCCACTGCACAGATCACCTTGCTTTTTACGTGAAGTTTGTTTCATTTGAGAAAAGCACTGGGATAATGAGCACCAAAGAGATTCTTCCCTATGCTATATTACGTGGCAGCAGGCCGACCTCACGCTGATAATCAGAGTCAATTTTCCCTGCAGGTTGTGACTTTTTTCTCTTCTGGAGGTTTCCTGCACTAAAAGTGATCAAGCAGCAGCCTTAGCTGCAAGTTCAGTGAGACTCCTGCCCACTGCTGGAAGTAATTTCCTTCTGGAAGTCAGGACTTCTCAACATGTAGAACTTGAAATTGCAGGGACCAGAGCATCAGCTCCAAAACTCATGCCAAGAATGTCCTTCCCTCTTCTCTTTCCTTCGGGTCATAATGAGTGTCTATTTTTCCAGCATCTTTCTCCCAACCTGTGCTGATTCATCCACCCTCTGTATCCTCCTCCCTGGGACAAAAGGTCAAACTCATCTGCACTCTGAGCAGGAGCTACAGCAGCTGCCACGTAGACTGTCCCCAGCAGAGCTCAGAGATAGGCACCAGGTTCACGATGCCGGTGGGCAGTGGTGCTGTTATTGCATTCAGTGGGGATGGAGTGGTTGTCCAGGCACAGACAGACAATCACACAGCAGGAACAAATGTACATGCTGAAATTTAACAAAGACAGAATAAGGGACACTTGGGGAATAAAGGTCTCAATTGCAGAAACAGTGAGTGCCTCAGTAGTTAGAGAACTGGGGCCATGTCTGCCATGGCTAGGATTCCTCTCTCCTTCATCTTCCTCAGTCATCAAAAATTCCATTGGGGGTAATCAAAGGATGCTGGGGCCTGCTACTCACTCCCAAAAAAACACCAGCAAGCATTTCAGCAGGGAAAAAGGAAAATGCTCACAACAATAGGGTTAGATTTAGCCATAAACCAGATTGTGTGGCAGGAGGGAGAACACATCCCCCATCTTTTGGCCACTCAGAAATTGGGGGAGCTAATCTGGGGAAAGGCACCAACACCTATTCATTAGTGTTTCAGCCCTGTGTGGTCACGGGTCTGTGTGAGGTCTCAGCAGCTGCCTCTCTCAAGGTCTCCCCACAGGACAGCAGGGTGAAACCTGGGGCAGGAAGACAGGGGAAGCTGATTTGCATAAAGAACTTTTTTTATCCTCTTGGGTCTGGGGAGGCATGAAAAGGCCCTGAGGAAAACAAACTCCAGCTGAGAAGCCTGAGAGCACTTGGCCTTCATAAGTGTCCCCACCATGGCCTGGATGATGCTTCTCCTTGGACTCCTTGCTTATGGCTCAGGTCAGGGCTTGAAGGGACTCTATCCTTGGGGGGACCACAGAAAACAGGGTTCAGGTTACTGTCATCCGCATGATCACAACTGTGTCTCTCTTGTTTATTTTAGGAGTGGATTCTGAGACTGTGGTGACCCAGGAGCCATCGTTGTCAGTGTCCTCTGGAGGAACAGTCACACTCACCTGTGGCCTGAGCTCTGGCTCAGTCTCTACCAGTAACTACCCCAGCTGGTACCAGCAGACCCCAGGCCAGGCTCCGCGCACGCTCATCTACAGCACAAACACTCGCCCTTCCGGGGTCCCTGATCGCTTCTCTGGCTCCATCCTTGGGAACAAAGCTGCCCTCACCATCACGGGGGCTCAGGCAGACGATGAATCTGATTATTACTGTACGCTCTACATGGGTAGTGGCATTTCCACGGCGATTTAAATCTATGAGGAAGTGCAACCAAAACCTCTTTATATACTCACAACAGTTCAGCCCTTACAGATGGGAGGGAAAGTGAGAGGGTGGAAATGGTCAACACGGTGAGTGAGGAGTCTCCTTGCCCTAGTCTCTGATGCAGGAGTTCACTGCCAGGTGCCTCTCCCAATCTCTCCCCGGGTGTATCCACCTCCCCAGTGTGACTGTTCCATGGCTGTGCTTCCTCTCCACTGAGAATAATGTGGAGGGAGAATTATCTACAAAATATATAAGCTCACAGTGAGTCACAGAGACCCCTGTGCCCCAGGAAGACACTTCTTACTCAAAGAGAATTAACAGGCATATGCTCATTCATTAATTTGATCATGGAGGCTGACTTAATATTTTATTTATCACTGAAGTGGGAGCATTTTCAAGGAGCTTGTTAAAAATGCAATTCTCCAACCTAACCTACTAAGTCAGAAACTTGTGTTGGTGCCAGATAGCCTGTATTTAACACCTGCACATGAGATTTTTCATTAGTGTTAATGTTTGGGAAGAACCTACTTTTATTATTATAAAATTATTCATAGGGATTTCCATTTAAAATGATGTCAGGTTAATATTCCATAATCCTACTCTCCTAAATTCCCATCTAAAACCCCCCAAATACTCAGAAACAGATTTTTAAATCTCAAGCCATAGCAAAAATTGTAAGTTGATTTATGCAGACAGACTTGGGAGGAATTTTGAAAAGCATAAGTTCTTAGGTGCCAAGTGTGCTGACTCGTGCCTATAATCCCAATAATTCGGGAGGCTGAGGCAAGAGGACTGCTTGAAGCCAGGAGTTTGAGACCAGTATCTTCCACATAGCGAGACTCCATCACCACGAAAGAAAAAAAAAAGATATGTCCCTACAGGAATTTCGAAAAACATGTTTCCTTAGGGTATATTTAGTGGTTCATATGAATATCTGTTACTGAAAACCATCCCATGGAGGACTGGCTTCCAGAATCCCTTCTCCCTCCCACTGAGCTCACCTACCTGTGGCTCTGGCTCTCAGGGTCTTTGTAGGACACAGGGCTCAGCCTTCCCCATCCTCCACCTCTAATCACAGATTGTTCCACAGGATCACGGTTCCACTGAGATCCTCTCCCATAGATGCGTACTTGTCCTGAACAGTGTCTCTTAACACAATGTTGGCAAGACGGGAAGGACTGAGGGGTGACGGAGCCTTGTAGCCACCAGAAGATGGCAGTAACGTCACTGCTGAGCTTTGCTGGGGCAGACTCAGGCTCCCACCCTCCTCCCTTCCTCTGACTCTTTCTTCTGGCCACCCAAGGTCCAGGAGCTTTCTCCACTCAATCAAGGCTCTGGGGTCACCTCAGAGAACCTCTCAACAAGACAGAGGAGGTGCTTCAGGGGATCTAACACAAGTGAGGGCAGATTTTAAGACTGTCCATGCACAGAAAACCCTATGAAAAGAAACAAACCAGCCCTACTTGTGTCTGTGCACCTGAGTCCTTAGGACTGTTTTCCTGATCTCCTGGCTGAGTCAAGATTGCAAATGTGTGATTTATTATCCAGATCAAGAGAAATCCATGACAGCTTATGAAGACAAAGATGACAACTACCCTATCTACTTGTCACACAATTAAGACACTGGCTTTAGATCTGTCAGTGCCCTGGAACATTCTGGAAGAAGAGGGTGAAGGTTACTTGGCAAGTGTTGGGACTCAGACATGAGGATCTCATGATGACCCAGAGGGATTAAGGTGGGATCAGTTGTGAGGGTGGAAAATGTGGATTTCCTAAGGCCATTTTATTGGTCCTTTTCTCATTGCAAAGGATTTAAACTGAAATGAACATGATTTTTCTAATAAATGGTTATGAGGCTTTCCATTAAATTTAATTGTATTTCATGCCTTAATGAAAATAAATATAGAAAATAAGAAATAAAATATACTTCCATAACGCATTACAGATTGTTATCTTTAAACTAGAGGGGATCATTACTTTTAAAGAAAAGTTACTAGGGTTGTTTGCATTTTAATCTGGGATCCTACATGATGGCTACAGATACAGCTGTTGTTCGAGGTTTTAGCCTGGAGTCTCTGCCAATTCAATAATAGAGGCAATAAAAATAGACGCAAGTATTATACAGGCAGAATTCATTTATTTTGAGAGTTTTGAATGCTATGAATATCTACCAAGAATAAAATAAATTGTACTGAAAATTTATTAGAATAAATTTAAAAATGCCAAATTCACAACTGATAAAATTATAAACAGTTAAAAATTCTTACATTTTTCTGTCTCAGTATAAAAAACAAACATTTAATGTATCTATTAGAAAATAATTAGCAATTTTATAAATGATATAAAAGAAAATTTGAACAAATGGTGAAACATTTTCTTATCTGCGGACACCAAATTAAAAAAATACAGGCCAGGTGCAGTGGCTCCCACCTGTAATCCCAGCATTTTGGGAGGCTGAGGTGGCGGATCACGAGGTCAAGAGATCAAGACCATCCTGGCCAACATGGTAAAACCCTGTCTCTACTAAAAATACAAAAATTAGCCATACATGGTGATGCATGCACACCTGTAGTCCCAGTTACTCGGGAGGATGAGGCAGAAGAATCGCTTGAACCAGGGAGGCAGAGGTTGCAGTTACCCAGATTGCATCACTGCACTCCGGCCTGGTGACAGAGCAAGATTCTGTCTAAAAAAAAATTAGCCTGGCATGGTTGCATGTGCCTATAGTTCCAGCTACTAGGGAGGCTGAGGTTGGAGGATTGCTTGAGCCTGGGAGGTCGAGGCTGCTGTGAACTGAGACTGTGCCACTGGACTCCAGCCTGGGTGACAAAGTGAGACCCTGTCTCGAAAAAACAAAAAATGAAAAAAACAAAAAAACCCCGAAAATAAAAAAAAATTCAACAGCATGCAGATTAGTAATGTTAGTGCTTTATTTTTTAAAATTGTTGTTAACTTATATGGATTTTCCTCTGAGAAGGTGCACTGGAGGGTGTCAGCAGAGCAGATAGGCCAGACCCCTCAGATTTCAGAAGCAGGGATTTATGGTAAATGAAAAACGCCAGTAACTTGTCAGCTTGCACAGGCGGCTATGCCCGCTCTGTGTCAGGCTCTGTGTCAGTAGTAGTGTGTTCCATGAGTCCTTTTCAGAGTCCTGCATGCCATCTATGTTCACTCAGCCAGGCCTGTCACCTGGAAGTAACAGGCAACTCCTCCTGCACTGGAATGAGTGGCAGAGTCAGGTGAATAACGTGGCCTGGCCACACCACCTCTCAGCGAAAGTCCCCAATGGTGATGCCCCATAGTTCCCAATCCTTCTTAAGTGTAATTAACTCACTTCAATTGAATTAAAAAAATCAATCACTTCACTATGACACATAAGGACATTCACCCTCTGGCTTTAACGATCCTTGCCTGCCTTGTCATTATAATTCCATGTGCCCAATACTGTCAAAAGATGTATTTTGCCATACCCTCCACATGCATTTCATATCTGTGATTCTTATTTCCAAATTCTATCTCTCTTCTAGGAATATGGTGTGTTTTATTTGTCCTGCTACAGGATTCCTCTCTCCACTCAGATTAAATTATGAAATTCCAGATAAAAAATTAACTTGGAATACTGTTGAATCAATAGCAGAAGTAAGCAAAATAATAAAGATATTTCAAAATGCAGATTGATTTTTTAAAAGTAAAAATGTCACATACTTCACCTAGAAGATAACAGGCTGTACTACAAATTCATTAATGGGCCAGTCATGTCCCTGAACTTAACCTCTGTCTTCTCGGGTGAAGTTACAGGCCAGGACAGCATCAGCCACCCACACTCCTAGTGGTGGAAGCTGGGAGCAGAGGCAGGAGCCTGTGCCTGTGGCCTTGGCTGGGTGAAGGATGACATTTCCAAGGCTTCTTGCTTGGCAGCCATCCTCACGTGCAGATGGCCTGGCAGCAGCACTGCAAAACCCAAGCATAGGATGCCCCCCTGCATGACCCAGTGGTAACTGTGGTGGCCACTGGCATCTGGGGCAGATGCAGCCATATGAGTTGGCGGGCTGTGGTAGCCACCCCAATGATGGTTTCCACCCCTCCCGGGTGGTGGTGGCTAAAACCCCACAGTAGGATTTTCAACTGCAGTGGTACCATTAAGCACAGCTCCTGGAGGAGGACTGGAAGCAACTGCTTGCATCGAAAGACTGTAGCTATAGTGGAATTATTGAACCACATCATATTTGCAGCAAAGATGTAGAATGTATTACAGATTATAGGCAGCAGTAGTTGAAGTTAATCTAGTAGAGAGCCATGAACATGAGAAGGAAGCTGTCTATTGGGTGGATGCTATCATAGCCGCAGGAGGTGATGGTGTAATGCTTCTACCAGTGAGTAAAGTTTTGTACAAACTTAAACCAGTTATGGGGTAAGCCCTGGTCCAGCACTACCTGAGGGTCACTTATGTTGGCCTATTCAATACACACATTTCTTCCCAGAAGCCTTACCAAAGGTCTATAGTAGTGAGTTCAGTATGGAGGCAGTAATCAGATCATATCTGGAAGGAACCGGCATAAACTCCAATCCTGTAGGACATCGTGGACAGCAACTAAATTCGAATCAACAGAGTAGAGCCCTTGACATTGAAAGAGTTTGTGGTGAAAGATCTGAGGCTTCAGGACTCTGACATCTGTGAATGAGAGCACTAAACGAAGTCGTTATTGGGTAACGTCTATCCAGAATATCTTATGCTTGGGCTGTGGCACTGGGTAATCTAAGAAGTAGACCCGCTCTAAAAGACTGGTTTCCCACTGTGAGATTTCAGTTGATAATGGTCCATGGAAAAAATGGAAGAGTTCAGGGCTCAATGTGTGAACTGGAGCAGGATCAAAGGTCATTCAATATTAACAGGGTTGCAAGTCAGGCTGTGGAGCATGATTAAAATATTGCAAATGACAAGGACATTTGAGTCTTCCATTCAACTGAGAATTAATAGAATAACAAATAAATATAATGAATCACTGTTCTGGAGTCCAAAACA